CACTTTTTCACACCACTGTACTTCTTAGGCTGTGCCATGTATTGTTGTTTGCCATGTTCGTCTCTGCATTATATATTCTTTTAGAAATATTTGGAACAGCACACTGCATGCCCCCCTAGCAATTTGTTCACATCCATCAGCATGAAAAAAATTGTTTGATGTTGTTCTGATGAAAGTGAACACTGCTTATTGTAGAGCCTTGAAGAGCCTTCTAGTAATGACAATGGCAAGTATGCAATGGTCATTGTAATTCAATTATACAGTGCATTTATGAAAGGGCAGACAACATGGACATCTTAGCTGCAGAATGTTACAGCATTTCTTGTACTAAAACATATAAAAAATGTGTCATGCCTTAATATATTACTTATATTATAGTCATAGAATAAACAGAAGATGGAAAAAGAGAGTTTGTATGTGCACTGCATGTGTGTGCTACGCCTGCAAGTCATCCTCAAATGCCATTAAATTAGGTACTATGTGACTGCACAGTGTCCTCATTAATTCTATTAAACAGCACCCTCGTCACCTATGCCAACTGCATTGACAGAAATATGGCACATACTTCAGTATTTGATGGGGAAGTTGACAAATCTACTGAGGTGCCATAAGTGCTTCAGCCATTGCAGTCAAAACTGAAAATGTTCAACTTCTTCCCTGAACAAAGTGGTCAAATTGCAAAAAAGTGACGATATACTCCAAGGTGACTTGAGATGGCCACATTATACTTGGTGCCAGGATTAACAGTCTACACTTCACGATTAACCCTTAATATGCATCAAATATCTATTTTCCACTTAGACCAGAATATTCCTTACAGACTTAACACCTATATTGGTAGCACACAGGGCTGCTTTTTTTGCTGCACAACCTTTGACGGATTATACAACAAAGTTCATAAAGGTTTGGAATCAAAGCTACTGAGCCATTACTATGTTTAAGAACCCACTGCTTCATCCAATTAATATTGCACACAGTTATTATCAGTCCAGAAATTATGCTTTTTCAAAATGAAAATGAGCAATTCTTACAGCTTGCGGGCTGGGGAAGCTTTCTGTGACAACATGCAAACACATGCATATAAGGCATATAATGGTTGCCCTATTTGGATAATTTTCAAGATAATGACTCATCACGTAAAGCACTGTCCATACATGTCGTGCTGTATTGAACAGGCAGGGCATCATCGAAACAATGACCACTTGTTTTGATGTCTCGCTGACTTTGACGACACTATTCAGAGCTGTGGATTAAATTAAACAGTGCTTCTATAAATAGCACGATATATCTACTGAATTAATACTTTACCGTACTGCACATGTTCACAAGCAGGTTGAACCAGTGTCACAACAACAGAATAGCCGCAGGGAAGAAATTAGAGAGGATCATGGAAGGGAAACAATCAAATAGATTAGCTAGACATGATATAATAGTGTGCCAACAGCTCCTATAGCCAGGAGTGTATTTCTTTCCTCCCCTGTAGAGGTCAAATGATGTGATGACTCCTATACTATACTTTAAATGAGACAAACGCTAGCTTTTCCTTATTTCTGTTCTGTGAATGCTACACCTTTTCAGCATAATTATACACAAACTCACACAAAATCTACGAGGCATTCCCGAGAAAACAAAGGTCCAACCCTCAGCTTCTCAGCATTTTAAAACTAATCCAGTATTAGCTGTCATGCAAAGTCACTAACAGGCCAAGATGTACGGATATAATGATAGGTTTAAAGCAAAAACATCCCGAGAGACAAGCAATTATATCAGAATATGTTTTAGGAGGATCTTGGTTTCTCCCTCACTTCACTGGCTACGGCTGACACAGTCACAGGAAATTGAACACAAACGCAAGTCAGCTCATCGGTTCTGATTTACCAGACAATGCACGTTTTGAAGAAAGTCAACATTTATATTCAGCTCTTCTTCAGCTCTACGAACGTCAGCGTACTGACAAACAAGGTTACAGTATGAAACATTAGGATTTTGTATAATTATTGCCTGAAATGAATTGAAATGTCCTCCTTCGCTAATGATTTTAGGCCATCAGACCAGGTGACTTTATTCCCACAGCGACCATTTAGAATTTATGTCACATGCGACCCAGAGAATCAGCATAACAACTAAGGTTGAGTCAACACATTTAGAAGGCTGATAAATGTAACAGTTATAAAGTTAACAGATGTTAGATACTGTACTTATAAAATATAGTGCAATATGATAGCTGATTCCAATTAATTGGCACTAGGGTTGAGTATTGTTTGAAACTTTTTGATACTAGTGCTGATGTGATGATGATTTCAACTACTAATATCTTTTTTTCTATAAAAACATTCCAAAACAAGCCAAATGCTGTCTAAAGCACCAGCAGCTTTAACCTCTTCCATTACACCCCGCCATAGACCATTTTTTTATTTTGAGATAGCAGGTCAATAGTATATGCCACATAGAAGTGGTATACATCAACCTAAAGGTTAATTTGAGATGCAGTTCAGATAACGTTTTTATGTATACTCTTTTTTTTTTTTTCTAAAAGTTTTTAGTGTTAAAATAAACACTATGTTTTAGGTAGGCCTATTCAAATTTAGAAAGTTTAGAGTGTACAACGGCTTAGAACATTATGATGAAAGAATTTTTAAGTTGATGCCATTTGTAACACAGATTTGGTGCACACTATTTTTGACAACCTAAAATGTATTAAAAATGGCCAAAAAATCTTTCAAAACACAAGACACAGAGACCTTGAAGAACATGTTTTGACATTTAGAGATTTCCGGGTATACAGTGTCATGCATTTGTAATTACCCTAGAGGTCACAACAGGTCATTTTATACAGTGAGGACAAGTTTTAAAAAAAATGGTGTAATGTATGGGAACTAACATCAACACACACAAAAACAAGTCCCAGCCATACCCAATGCAAGTACTTATTGAATTCTGTTTAGGTACCCCAGTGTGCAAAAATATTCAAATACACCATTTTAAAAATAGGAAAAAAATAACACATTTATACTGCATGCAAAAAACTGCATGTTTTTGCCCAAAACTGCATGGGATTAGCATAAAGTGGGAATGTTGGGAGCACTATTCATTTTAAATGATTTTCTTTTCTTTTTCAATGGTTAACTAGAGATGTATTTTTTTAGTTGCCAGGCCCATCTATTGAGAGGCCTATCTTTGTGCTGTACTAGCTCTTCCAGGTACAGTTCCCTATCGAAAATGTGGTCCAAGTTCAAAATGGCTGCTGTATGAAAAGGGTTTATGAAGAGTAAAATACAAATTGTGTCATTGACTCCTGAGTCAACTTTATTATTCCATCTCCAAAAACAGAGCAATGAATGTAATCCTAGATATTGTCTTCCACTGAGGGTAACCAGAGAGTCCCTCTGACCTTAACACAAGGTCACTGCACTGCTGATGAGCTAAATACACAAGGCTAAAGTAACACAATCACTTATACAGTACAGCTTCCAGCTGCTAAATGCACTTCCGCCAGGCCAATATGAAATCATTTCGACAAGACTGTATCAGAGCAGTCCACAGTTCTTCGTTGAGACTGAAGGTGCTGACACTACAGAGCCCTCAGCTGAGAGAGAGACAGATCTCGCTCGGTCAGCAACCCTCTCAGCCTGCAGAGGATCAGAGCATAGGATAGCAGTAATTTCAGCGCTGCTCTTCAGACAGGAGAGTCCTTTCCCCTGGGCAGTCACAAAAACATTCTGACAGCTGCTGTACACACAAAGGACCTGATGGCCCTCAATTAACCTTGATGTGAAACTAGTGCCTTGTCAATTCTCTCTAAAACAAGATCAACGGTGCCATTGAGCAGCAATATCATTTTATTTATTTTATCTGTCTGTTATGCCATCTAGCCATAGTCCCAGTGCAGCTAGCCTTTGCTCCCTCTGCCCGAAAATTGTGGAAGCCTCTCAACCTCTGGACATCTCCCATCATGGGCAATTTACAGACTGGGATTACTTCAAATGCTGCTCTTTGATTTTTTTTGTCAATGTGTTAGACAATTGTGTCATACTGTAGCTAAAGAAATAACAGTTAATTGTCTCATCAAGGGATTAATGTCTCAACTGTGCTGTGATGCAGGACCCCTACCACTCAGATGTATTTGGCTGTGATGTATCATTGATGCAGATCGATGGCAAATGGCTCAATCACTAGGATCTCTGCCCCACTGTCATTGACCTCTGGCTCCTGTGGCGTTCCTGGGAGACCCCCTGCCAGTGAAAAACACTCCCAGCATGCTGATGAAGGAGAAAAAAACATCAGAGCCTTTGAAAGTGTGCCTCTAATGTGCTTTCTTTGTAAGACTGGCCACAAAAAACATTCCCAAAAGCAGAGCACAAATAATAACAACCTAGTGTATTAAAGCTTTCAACATATACAGTGTACTGAGTGTAGAGGAGTATATATACACACACAGTCATTCAGAAGACACCATGAATGCACAAGAACACTTGCAATCTTCTTTTTAGAGAAACTTCAAATACACTTCTCAACAAAGAGAATTTCTAGCAGTTAGATGCTCTGAGCACTACTACCTACAATAAAAGAATAAGGGCATGTTACAACTAGGTGACTATTCACTGGGCACAAGCAGCCATTATAACTCAACAAAGACTACCAGGTGATAAACTGTGTTCTATGGATTCTGTGACCATTAAAACCCTAAGCAGTAGTTTGCAGAGCAAGAACAGAAGGGAAAATATTGACTTTAACAGAATAATGTACATCAGCTGCTCGTGTACTCAAATGCAATGCATTGCCAAATTCTTAATTTTATTCACTCAAACTTGTTACACTGGGAAACACACATGCTAGACACAAAAGAGCATTAGTTCAGTCACTCTCCCCTTTTTGGAGGAGGCTATATATCACATGATCTTTAGCGCATGTATCATATGATCTTTACCACTGATAATCAGTTTGCCTCAGAGGCAGAGTAGGTCATGTTCCTGATCATTCCAATGTTCCTCTGTAACGCCAAAACAGAGGGTCACTTTAAGCTACAAGGACTCTGTGTGTATCTGCAGCAGTAACTAAGTTAATTAAATGTTAATTGCACACCTATTCACTGACACTTGACCACTACAGTTAAATGCTAATAAAGTAATTTTAGCAGTTTGCACAAGAGCAAAATACTTAAGCTCACTTACTGCTATATTAAACTTCAACAAAATAGTCAAATCTCAAAACCCACACACACACACACACACACACACACACACACACACACACATTAGGTGAAAGAATATTCATTTAATTTACCGCAACTGACAAAATGTACCTACATTTACTAACATTCATATATAAAAGCAGCCAGGCAGCCAAAAGGTAAGCAGACAGCTATTTATTTAAGCTGATAGCTGGCGCTCAGCGAACCCTCACGTCTTTTATTTTATGCCACTACCCCAGTTCGTTATGTAATGTATGCACGGCAGTGAATTCAGACCTGTCATCTGCTACTTCAAACTGGCTCATTTGACCCGCTGATGAGAAGTGCCACAGTCGAAGTACACCATGCCGGCATCTACTGACCTACTTCTTGAGTCTGCTTATCTGCTGGGACCACTGGTGCTTTACAAATGAATTCATTTTCTGTGATTTAACTTGAATTTGTTTCATGACCGTCACATCCTGTGACTTCTTCCCAGGTCACTTCCTGATACCCCGTGATAACGTGTTGACCAGCTGTAATAAAACTACAGGCCATCACACTGTTCTTTTCTCTTCCCTCTTCTCTTCACCCTCACAGCTCTCTGAACCTTGGGGTGGTCTGCTTGGACCTCCTTTCACGGACTGGTTCGGTAATGTACTGGGGATACTGTATATTAGATTTGCGTAGCTTAACGGCTGTTATATCTGTTTTGCCTTGAGGTTTTATTATTGTAATCTCCATGGTTAATGCTAGGGGACCGTGTAACCTTAGGTCTCAGCCACATCACAAGTTGTGTTAGTTAACGTTAGGCTCCACACAGACACAGCCTTTGCATGCAACACAACACACACACGTAGAGAGAAAACTTAAACCTCCCACTGTACGTTTCTTAGTCTCTGACATAACACTTGCATATGGTGTGTATATCAAAGAAACAGACACATTCCTTCAGGCGTACACCCACACATGCACACCCTCACACACATATACGCACACACTCCTTTGCAGTTTAGTTGAGTGTATTTAGTTAGTTTCATATTGTTTTGTTTATATTTTCTCTTTAAAGGACTGGCGTGTAGGATTTATTGGCATCTACCTCACTTCACCTTCCATTTCCCAGTGTGAAGATGCAAATCTTGAGCCACAATATGGTTTGTCTCTTCTGGGCTACTGTAGAAACATGGAGGTTCAACATTGCGGTCTCCATGGAAAACAGCTACTAATGAAGACATAGTTATGCATATTATATTCAATTTCTGCGAATAGATCCCTGTCAATGTTACACAATGGACCTTTAAAGTGACGTCTTGTTCTAGACAGAGGATGAACTGAGGGGCTGTATGAAGGTAGTGTGCGAGTGTTACACAAATAAGGATGATTTTTGAAGAGTGAATCTTGCAAATGTACTCTAGTGGAGTCTCAGAAATGAGCATAATAGGTCTCCCTTAATATTAAGTTATTATTTATCATTATCTTTGATTATTGAAGATTTTGATAAACATTAAAAAGTTAATTGATTGCACATACACAATCCAGGGCCCTTTTAAACCATTTTAATCCCTAACACAGTTTAGACCATAGGTACAGTAAATACTTGGTAAGTAGTGTTTGAACGATGCATACACATGATGGCTGCTCAACTGATCTAATCAAAAATGGAAAAAAATTCACTGATTTCTACCTTCAAAAGACCAATACACTTACATTGTTGTGGATACTATGAACAACTAACAATTGAGTAACCTGTAAATGTACTGATACTGAAAACATTGATATAATTGCCAATAACTATTAATCAACTGCAGTCAATTTCATCCAATGACATTACAATCTTTAATTACAAGTGAGATCAACCTTACTTCAAATCTGAAAGCACATTGGGAATGTGGTCAAGTGTTTGCTAATAGAAAAAAGGCTCGTCTGCATTAAAGCTCTCACATATTGACTGCCTGCCACAGTCATCTGTTGGGATAAATACCGGAAATTATTCATTCAGACTGACGTACATGAGGAGTGTGAATGGCAGTCAGCTAGTACTTCATGTTCTATAGAAACAGATCTGGAGGCAAGCCAGGCCCTAAAGAGGCTATGATCACAGAGACAGTGGTGAGAAAAAACATAGGAGAGATCTATTCCACTGGTAAACATGAAACACAAAGGCTTGGTCACAGCAACAGCATGGGGTGTGTTTTAGTTTCCACCTCCTACACACTTATTAAATATGGTTCAACAATCACACTCTCCAATGACTCCCAAAACCTTTACTTCCCGCTCTCCAACTGAACATTTCCTGGGGAATTCCGACCAGGAATGTATTCCTGATGACGGAGCAACTGCGACAGCTGAGAGGAAAAATCACTTTCTAATGAACAGCACGGAAACATAGTTGAGGCATTGTCTGTAACAATTGCCTGTTTCAACACTTTGTGGATCAAACAACTTACTTGGGAATGCATGACCTTGTTATTTTTATTTATGGAACAGTTTAATAGTTCTCTCTGGGTTGCAAAATTTGAATGAACACTAGAAATATTACATTTAAGACCATGTTTGAGACTTTTGATTCAAAGTAAATTGGGCGCTGAGTTGAAAGTGTGAACTAAAGTTGTTGTAGCAGAGACACCCTTAATAGCTTCCCATAATACAGAATCACTGTGGTAATGGCCTCTTCAGTAGCTGGCAATGAGTGGGAAAAAGGCACCGTTTAAATAGTGCTTGCTTTTAATTACCACTGCAAAGCAAAATTGCAGTATTTAATATTTCAAAAGCTTAGACAGGAGGAAATGTAGAACCATGATATCTAGAAATGTGTGCTACTTTTTAGTTTGACACTTTTCTGATATATTTTGGCACAGGCTCACAAATTTTACAAAGCTTTTATAACCTTGGGTCTTGTGAATAGCATCTAGTGTTTTGTTTGATGGAACACTAAGCCTTTATCAGTTGCCGCTGGCAGATGCATGCTGCATATGAGCTTGTGACATGGTGTTGCTGTGATCTAATTATAACTGTGTACCGTGTTGTGGAAAAGCGTACAGTACTCACTGTATATTCTCAGACTGGGAAGGTCTCCACCTCAGCATTAAACATGGGCAACCAAATGGCTCATATTGTGAACCAACAGGTGAAATTTGCCACTGCTGAGATTAACATAGCTTCAGTATTTCAGAATTACTTCAGTACAACTGCAAACACTGAGTCCATCCATAATGAACACATAGGTGTATGCACACACAATGAGCAAATCTTTAGTCTAAACATTAATACATTAATCCTACACACAATCCAGCTAAATTCCACTATAAGGAAAGATTTACACACAAAAGCCTTTGCAGCACTATGTAATCTGGAGATTATTCTCTATTGGCACATTGTACCATTCCACAAATCTTTTTTCTAGATACTATAAGGGTGCATGTTGACATACATTACATATATAAGTGGAATATAACAAAGAATCCACAAAATGTGCAAGTAATCATCTTTATAATTATATAGCTTATTCATAAAGGTACTGAAGTTAAAATCAGAACATGTTAGCATTAAGGTGAACTATTTCTCATAACATAAACATTTCATAGCATTAGTAGTTCTGTAAGGATAAAGCAATTTACTGAGACTTCTATTCCATCACACGTGAAGCAGAGATCAGCACCAAAGCAAAATGGGTGATGCTTGACACCAACTGTCAACATCCAACATAGTTAGTTTGAGACACTGTATACACTGTATAGGCTGTACACTTTTCAGAAATACTTAACACGTCAAACCAGGTTGGAGCTATCTAGCATTTAATTGGTACTTTATGCACATCAAGGTATAAATGGATATATCTATAAGTAGAAATGATACAAATTTATTAAGCGAGATGCAACAATGCTGCTGCTATTGAGCTGCTGCCCATATATAATTTCTAACCGTTCCTACAGTGTGGTTGGTGGATGCTTTTATTCTCCACTCACTGGTGCCTTACAGTACCAAAGGGGGTTCATTTATGGGTACTCCCAGTTGGAGTCAGGCCCCTAGCATCCTCAGTGGTGCCTTACTCTAAGGGCATCCAGAATCGCAGCTGTCTGAATCATGCTGATACAGCATCACTCAGATAAAACATGTCACTCCTCAATATTAGTTTGAAACCTCTCCTCATGGCATGAGTATCCTTGAATTGACCCTTAATATCCGAGATGCCTCTCAGAGAAAATGCTCAGCTGTAGCTCTGTCGAAGGGTGGGGTGGCATTTTTCAAACAGTTGGTCACAGCAGCCAAAAGCTTCTTCAGTAAATGAGAACGTCAAAATAGGCTGACGTGTAGCTAATGTGGTTTGGCATAGCGAGTCAGCCTAACACTAATACATTTGTTCCACAAACTAATGTACTGTATGTTAAACCAACCATGGAAAAATCTGTATAGTGGTTTACTGTGTGGTCTGTTCACCCCACAGTCACTACGTTGGAGTTACAGTTATTGCCCTGTACCGGTGTGAAACAACCATAACACCCATCACAAGTGCAGCACATACATATCTGTATGAAGCAGCAGGGCGGCCTAGTGGGTTAAGGAGACATGTCGTTCAAGTCAGGTGGTGCACATCCTCCCTGCTGGTGTCTCAGAGAGTAACAGAGCATGCACTCAAGGCTCTATAGGTGTCAGGTAAAAAGAAGGACTGTTCCTACTGGGATGCATGAAATTTGATCATAATGAATATTTTTAATCACTGGGGCAAAGGACTACTGGGCTCCAGGAGTCTCAACAAACTTGAACAAAACTGACAATTAAAGATTATCCCCTGCCTATTCTTCCCACATTTTTGTGTCAGCCTACTGTAAATCATCAGTGGTTACATCACTGCATGCGCACTACAGTCTCACATCGTCAATGTAGCTCTGATGTTGAGCCGATCCAGATAACATTCAGGTCAAGTCCAGTTACAAGTTACTGTACAGCACATTTCTTTGCAGAGCAGCAAGGATGCTGGAGCTGGGCGGCATTAGTTGCATATATAGCCCACTTCTAAGCACAAAATCCGACCAATCCTAAATACTTAACATGCAGCAACAACGCCAAACAAGTAGGTCAGTGAAACATTCATCTTATTACCTCTTATCTGTCAATGTCAAAAGCAGTCAGTCACATATTAGGCGAAGAAATAGACTTGACAGGCTTTTTAATAAAGGCACCAGATGAAGCAAATCGACTGATGTTAAATCCAAAAGGAAAAGCAAGGAGATGGCGAAGTGGAGCACATCACACAGATCATGTGAAAAAGGTCGTCTGCAGGCTGTTAATATGAAATGTTTCCAGCGCTTCTGCTGAGCCAAACATCAAGCGGTCCGCCTCCGTGTAGTCAGCCCGTTTGGGGAGGAATGGCACCTTGAGACAACAGCGCCAGGGTTTTAAACACACAGGGGAAAACAGATAATAAAAAATGAAGGCGAAATCCTACCTGATGTCTGTCACTCGTTAATGCATGCGACCTGGCTTTGGATGTAGGCTTGGCGACACACAACGCAAGCGGGTCAGCTCAGCTTGCCTGCCTGCCTGCCTCCTCCACGGCATCAAGCCCCTCCTCGTTTATCGTACAGTGGAGAGGGAGATGGGGAAAAAAAGAAAAACGACCGCATATCTATGCGCCGAAAAGAGGAAGCGGCGTCACACTCACCCATGGATTCTGATAAGCATAGAAGGTGTAGCCGGATCGAGATATACTGAAAGGCTCAGGAGTAGGGTGTTGATTCAAAAGAGACAATTGTGTGAGATCACATAGACCTGCAAATCCTGCAGCCGAAAGACGGACGCACAACATGTTTGAATGACTGAGTGCGCTCTTATTTTGAAAATGCTTTGAAGTAGGGTTACACCTGCCAAAAGCGTGTCAGCAGACCGACCATCAGTGGAGGACGGGCCGTGTTGCTGTGCTTTATCCCACTTTGACACAGGATCAATTGCACATGGAAGATGATGTTGTTACTGGGATCCGGTCTACAGCAAAAAAAATAAATAAATAACACAATACCAGTGAAATTTCAAACTAATCGAGAAAAGAACATGTAATCTGATAGGGCTTTTTGAAAATAATGTATGGCTGTTATGGAGGGGTTTTTTTTTGAAGGCGAGACGATGGATTTATAAACCACGTGCTGTACTTCAGTGTTTTAGGGGGTCAAATTTGGTTAGATGTACAGTTTTGCAAATAAAAAATAATAATGAGTATATTTAATGCTTTAGATAGATTAACATATCAATTCATCAGTGGGTGTGTTGGTTTTTAACCTGAGCGTATACTGCCCCCTAATGGAGATGTTCAAGCATCCCTGCAAAGATAACAGACACTAGAAGAAGCAGAGAAGGGCTTGGATGTAAGGTATTGTCAATAGTTATTAATATTTATTAACTAGTTATAAAAAAGTCTCAATTTAAGACTGGTTCATCTTTATGACCTACATAAGCAAACAAGGCCATCGGTGAGAAGATTCCCATTGAAATCAATGAAACACTGTGATGGAAACAGTGCTACTTTCGTCCACAGGGGGCCCCAGAAGCAACACAAAATGAAAGTTCCTTGTAGGCGCTGTCTCCCCTGGACTGACTTGTTTTTCTTGGCTCTCAATTCCCTCCTCCAAAAAATGCAGAGCGGTTTCTTAAAATCTATTATTGATGACAACCAGACAACAAAGAACTTCTCCTCCAGCCAAATACTATGCATGTTGTGTTAAATTAGGTAAAACTGTATTTACGGTTTAACTAAAATACCAAATAGATATTTTATAAAATATTTTCTTTTTCTTATATCCTCTTTTCCTCAGATTCATTATATCCAAAACAGACCTGAGAGGTACGCTTGAATTCCTGATGTGACTTGAACAGTTTGGAAAACATTTCTGAGAAGTTCCCCCTTTCAGGACACTTTCCTGGTTTAATGTTAGCTGTGACATCATTCTGTCATTTACTGCCTGGTAACACATGGTAGCTAAGTTACTCCACTTGAACCTTGGCCAGGCGGAATGGAGCTTTTTGACAGGTTCCCTCCGCTTTCAAATGCAGAGTGATGGAAAGCTTTTTTGAGGAGGATATACTATAACTGTTATTGTTATAAGTGTTCCAGTGCAGACCCACCCTAAATACAGCTTTCTGTCATGCATGTTGGTAATAATTCCTAATTCAGCTGCTTCATGTCACACCACAAGAGGGTAGCACTGACATGACAATGTTTCAGTAAAGGTAGAAGACCTAAGGAGCAACGTTCAGTTTGACTGTAAATAAATCAATGTACTCATTGTCCTTTTTAATGCGGATGTTGACCTTTCAGAAACCACATAAAGATAAAGAGACATTACTGTGTGAACTATCAAACACAGTTATTCAGTAATGGTAAAGTGTTGCAATGAATTAATACACTATATTCACTATATATACACTGTCCACCTCAACAAGACGTAATTTTAACTTTCCCAGGCTGAATGACTTGGGAAATGTCTATGTAATACAAATTCCATCTCAGATTTTCAAAGTGAAGTGATGATGCAGCAATAAAATGTTGGCAGGGTTTCAGTATTTCTTTTTAAAAAATCAATTAAGTACTGGAATAAGTAAAGAATGGAATAAACTAACACCAGAGGGTTTAACTAATAGGACTTGCCACATTCACTTAAATGCCACAAAGACTTCAGAAGCAAGTTATTAAACCCTGTTTTAACTGAAACACTTCTTAGGCAGAAGCCTGATTGACCTGTAGCTTTCCTAAACTCAGTAAAGCTAGGCGAGTTTTTTTCCTTGAACTTTTGCCTCTAAAAGGTACACTAAAATTTTTTAGAATTATTATCTAATCAGATCACCTTGTTCAGGTGCACACAAGAAGGTCATACACACCATCCAATTTAAGAAAACAAACATGTGAATTAAAAGCCTGCCATTTGTTTGTGAACAGTTGTTCCATAGTTGTAGTAAGCTTATCTTGCTAAACAGTACAGCGGCTACGACAGGGGCTTTGAGGTCTGTTGTGGTTTGGATATTTCCATGGGAACTACAAGGAGAGAGGGAGGAACCTGTTTGAACCACACAGGGGGCGTGTGTTAGATTCACTGGGTTCCTGCCTCGTTTAAACTGTCTGCGTCTCTCAAACAGCCACAGATGTGCTGGTCTTGACAAGAGAGAACTTCCATCTGCTGGGAAGAGAGCCTCGGAGATTTCTCACAACAGCCTGAACTTTTAGCTGGAGCTATCAGCCCATCCTATTCAGGATAATCTTGTGGATTATTCATATCTTCAGAATATAAGGTAAGTAAACCATCCTGCAAAGTTAATATTTGCAGATATTATGACCTGATTTTCATTTTTAGACTTTTTTTGTGTGTGTGTGTATTTGATTTCAGAACACAATGCAGCAACTTACAATCATATCCTTTTTATTTTACAGCGATTTCTAATTTCTCTCAGTGGACCCATGTGGGTGGTGGAGAAGATCCGTGTGTCAGTGGAGAGATCTAACCTGCCTATTCCATCAGCAGAACTCAGCTTTAAAATTGGCGACATCATGTTTGGAGAAAAAGGTGACAAACTGAAAAGGATTTCCCTTTGTCCTAATGTCATCACCCCTGACAACATCCCAGAGTTCTGCATCCCCCCAACAATCCCATCCATACAGGAGATGAAGAATACGGAGCAGGGCCGAGCTGCTCGCTTTATCAAGGCCCCTCCCTGCGAGAGGGCTAGCCCTGAAATAGAAGTGACACGTCATGAGCCCATAAACCCACACATTATCCAGGTGGAGAGTGTGGATGAGGGCCCCTATGACGGCTGCAGTGATGAGGAGACCACCAATGCAGATCCCCAGAGCCAGGCTGCCTTATCCCTGCCACATCTGGCCAAAGCTCAGACCTGCTATGGTTTTTGCACCTTACTGGAGAGCCCCCACACCAGGAGGAAGGAGTCACTCTTCCACTCTGATCCTGGCTCCTCTCCCCTGCTTCTGCCCAGGAGCCGATCCAGCATGTGCTCCAAACTCTCCCCCTCCACCTCGCCCTCCTCTTCTCCATCCTCATTCAGCCTTAACACCCTAACCTCCAGGCTTTCCCCGAGAGGGTACACTCTGAACTGGCAGGCCACTCTGGACAGCGATACAACTTCCTCCACTGAATCCTCTCCTTTCAGTTCACCGTTGCTGACCAGGTGCCCTGCCAAGTCTTCCCTCTTCAAAGCACTGAGCCATGAACTGCTGTTGTCAAGGAACATGAGGAAGGCAATGGTGTCCAGGAACAATTCCCTGTCCACAGATGAAGGGAGCTCCACAGACAATAGCCCCAATGTCATGAGGAGGGCATCAGAGGGGTTAGTTGAAGGCCTGCCCAGCAGCTACAGCCTGGCGCCGCCAACCATCTTCCCCATGGACTTGACTCTGCACAGAGAGAGGGTAATGAAGGAAAGAATGGTACCCATTGGGAAAGATGGCAGCCTGAGACTCTCAGCAGAGTATTGCCCAGATAACCAAAGACTACGGGTTCGACTGATCAGTGCCGAGGGCCTTTATCCTCTCTCTGTAGACCCCAAGATTATCAACTGCAGTGTTAGCCTCTCTCTGGTTCCTGGAAAAGTCCACAAGCAACGCAGCACAGTCATCAGAAAGAGCCGTAATCCTATCTTCAATGAGGACTTCTTCTTTGACAGTATCTCAGAGGAAGACCTCAGCCAGCGGTCCCTTCGCTTTAAAGTGGTGAACAAAATGTCCACCCTGAAAAGAGACTATCTCCTGGGTGACTGTGATTTGCCACTTTCTAGCATTGTAACATTACAAACCTAAGTACTTCCTTAAATGTTTATTTATGTATTTGAATATTTATTATTTTTGTATTGTCCAATTAGATTTTATAATAATTAAATTATGGGAAACACTGAGATTGGTTGTCTTGATTTTAATATCAGAAATTGTATCAATATGTATTTTCATAATTCAATGCTCAGGATAAAGTTAATTTCAGAAAAACAAACACACAAGCAAAAATTTCATCCTCATCTTATAATTGCTTTAAAAAAAAGTTACTATAATGACTTAGTCTTTTCATTCCTTGGTGTGTTCATGTGGCTGCAGCATCTGCTGGCGTGAGACAACCGCCGTCTCATATTTCTCCTAAGCCTGTTGTTTTCTTCCTGACCTTTCCAATGATTAAAAATATCACTAGAAACCAGAAACCTTAGAGGGGAGTTTTCACCGTTGAGTATGCATAATTTTAATCAGTGCACAAAAGAAGCTTTCTCTGCTTTCCCCCCCACAATCAGAATACTTACTGTTACATTTCATGAAGACTGAGTAACAACTGAAGCTGTTAAACCCACATTTTACAAGTTGAAAAGCATATAACAATGTTACTGGAGATGATATTTATCAGTAAAACCTGCAAATGCTTATCTACTTCAGAGACAGATAGCCATGCACTTAAATGGCAAAACATTTAAAAAATTCAACTTTTACTATTTTCTTAAAACACTTACACTAAAATGTACTATCTTCAGCTCTGAATGAAAATATCAATTAGGCCTAGGTTTTCAAAAATAATTCAGCAACTAAAAGGTTAAATGTTAAAATGAAGAATTTTACTGTGTCATTTCAGGATAAACGGTACTGCTCAGCTTATAATATAAAGCGTGAACTCAAAAAGACCTCTTTTTAGACAAGTGAAGAGCAAAACATGCTCTATTTATGCATCAGTCACTTTGTGCAATATACATACATGTTTACCCAGCTGAACAGATCACCAGCTCTTAATGTAGACTCCGGGCAAGTATATCCTGCTCCTTTCAGCAATAGGCTTAAAAGCACCGGCTGCCAGTATAGCTCCTAGTTAAAGATTAATAGGTTTCTCAGGGCTGCGAAAAGCTGTGATAGGGGACTGACAACTGCTGGTTATACAGTGTATGACAAAACAACATACAGTAATGTGAAGAGATCTTGTAAGGACGTATAAATAGCTATTGCAGCCAAAGCTATAATAATAACCTGCCGGGAGATTGGTTTTAAAGCTCAGTGAAAGCTCAGTAATGACGCATGCTTCATGATGCAAATATTTTACTAGATTTTACAGTTTGGATTGTGCCACTGACAAAAGCCTTTGGACAAATATAGCTCATGATCCACTTTCAGTTTGAACTACAGATTCAGCGTAGCCACAAAGACCTGCAATCCCCTCTCGATTGTTTTGATGGAAATAAGGGTTTTGGGTTTCTACAATACGTAGCCTGACACAGGCTTTAGTGCTACTCTAATACATAGGAGCATTTAATTTGTGACAACCTATAAACAAACCACACAAACAAACTGCATTTTTCAACAAAACCTCTTTGCGCTGAATGTATTTCCAGATCCTGTGAAGAGCTTGATGCTGTTGGACACTTTTTATTGAGTGTTGACTCAGCTGTGAAATACCCTGTAATAAATGAGAATTACCTGTGATTCCCCTTGCTGGTCTACCACTGATAGGATTCAGAGGGATTTCCACTGATCTATCTTCATTCAAAAGAGCAGAAGCATTGATCTTTATAAAGCACACTGGTTGCAGCATTAGGACCTTGATCCAAACTGGTGCCACCCATACAAAAATGTTATGCGATAATGGGAATAAAAGCAATAAAAGCATTAAATGATGGGGTAATACTTTACATTACAGCTTAGTAATAACATGGTAATAGTGGGGCAATATATTTATAATACCATACACCAATAATTACAAGAGTAATGACCAGGTATATATACATATGGGTATATCTGGGTAAAAATGGTAATTACCATATTATAACACTGAAATATATTCTTCCTTATGTTCCAAACATTTCCTTTTGTTTAGGGTAATACAGGTTAAATTATATGTTTGAAAGTGTAACTTGTTACCTGGAAACACTGGACTGCAAAATGCTAAACTATCAATAATGGCTTATTAGCAATTCATATTAACTTTCAGATCACATGAAAATGGCACTTGAACTTTGTGTTGATCTCATACTGCACTGGGTATAAGTCCAACCAATACAGTTATCACACTTTTATTTTACTATTGACTTCCACCCCATTTTATGAAACTATATCTGTTTAACAGGAAACACATCACAATGACAAACAGTAAGACATAATACATGCTGTAATACTGAGAAAACTGTTCAGTGTTTTGTACTTACTACTGATTACTAGAAGTGATTTCATATTATCTGTAGGAAACATCTGTCTCCCTAAGAGCTGTGCATCATGACTGTAAACGCACAACAGGGGAAGTGCACTGGCTTAATCTCAAGTGTCTGAAAACAGTTGCCTGGTTACCCTCATTCACCAAGATGCCTTTGCCCAGCTAATGCACATTTACAATTTCCAAGTAATGAGCTGGAACTGACAACAGCTACATTTAGAAATGATCAGGTATACTTAGATATTTTCAGCTTATTCCTTTCAGCTGTCTGTTTTCTGCAAAACCAATTCAGTGTTCTTGAGTTTCTTGAAATGGAGGGACAATGTTTTCATACCAAGAAATACAAACTATCCCCTTCCCCTGCCATATCTCACTTGCCTGTTTTACACCTTCCTACGTAAAAGAGTCTGTTCAAACCAGTTTCGTTATCTCATTTTCTGTTTTACCAGGCTCTTATATTGTGCCAAAATATATAACATAAACCTTAAAATGTCACTGTAAACATGTTTGACCTTCACCAGTTCTTTATCCTACCTACCCATGTTCTCATGGTAAGAATTGCTTTGGAAGTGAAGTGACAAAGGCTAGTGGCCTTCTTTTGTAATGTGTTCTCCACCTCCCACTGCAATCCATCAAATGTCCTATAAAAAGGGCCTTCGGGTGTCATAGGCATGGTGTTGTCAGGACAAAGCATTCTGATGTCGAACACTGATACAATAGGCAAAGGAGTGAGCGGGGGTCAGCTTGTTGAATGCATGTACACAGATGACTCTTCAATGAGACTGTCGTTGTCTTCTGATTGTTGAGTACACACAACAAACACACTTGAAACAAGAATTATAAATCCTTACAAGGGCCGAATTTAATCTTTGGTTACAACATTGAATTTTTCATCAATTAACTTTATTAAGAGAGGGTAAAATATTCCATGATGTCAGTAGTGATGCTGTGAGTTGTTCAGGGCCATGATGTCACTGTTTATGGCCCTCTGTTAAATTGGTAAACACTGCCTGTGTTCAGCTTTGCACCAGATTAGTGGAAGTCATGAGCAGGCTATGAGATATATTTGAGTTGCGTCATTAGTTTGAGGACAGATCGTATAAACTGAAAACAGATCTGACTGAAACAGACACACAAAGACACACAAAGACACACACACACACACACATTCACACGCTGGCCATGCCTGATGATTCTCCAAATTGAATAGAATGAAGACATTGTAAAAAAAAAAATTACTTAATGTTTATAAAATGTTATTTTTATAAACTGTCCATTCTGGCTAAAATCACACAGTCATTATGTGTTGTGATGATTGGTAAAACAAGAAAAAGCTACTTGATTTGACTAAATATATGCCACTTTATTGATATTTCCAGTGTTGTTCTGACCATTCAGGTCATTCGTTCTTACCTATCGCATCTATTTAACAATGACACAAAATCAACTTGATGCAACTGCCTAACATATTGCTATCTGTATAGACATTCCCAGTTTGTGATAAGTTCCTAGAACAAATCATGCTGTATCTGCACGTAGCAGACTCATCACTTAGCCTGTACACCTGCCCTGTGTTATACCACCCACTCAATCACCTCAGGCACTGCATGGAGCGGAGTCCAAGCGTGACCTGTTCTGTACATAACAACCAAACATACTGTAGGTTGGACTTCCCCACATCTGATCAGACTTATATAAACAGAACCAAAGTGTTTGGTCTGGCTCGGGTAAGCAATTAACCACAAGCATGGCTGTTTGGTTATTGGTTATCTTGACAGTACGTCAGTGAAAATTGGAGGCTAATAATAACTCACCACGAGGCCTTGTGTAACACATCAGTTGTGTGCGTTCATTTCCCAGTTGTCCCGAGGGTTTTAACTTGTGAACAGGCACATGCGGATGGGATGGTTAAATGCATTAGGACAATCAGGACAGGGCTTGCACAACATTGTCTGAATAGCCATTAAACAGTTAGGCAAACAGCCTGCAATGGTACATGTCATGTGACAGGTGGGCTGGATTTGTTTGATTAATGCTAACTTCAGATCAGCTTAACAAGATCATGCTGACACCATAAAACTACAACTACTGTTGCTTTTACAATTACTTTTATATAAAATGTGTGATAACACCATATTTAAACTCAAAGCAAGAATAAACTGTGCTTGATTAGGTACTGTACATGGAAAGATGACACTGTCTTCCTGCCTGTCTCTCTGTGTTTTTTCCTCTTCCAATAGCGCCTTCCACTCCCATGGCAACGAGGCCTAGCACCAGGGGAAACCATGGAGATCCTGCCTTTCATGTGTGAGATGCTTTTATTTCGACACATAAGTTGATAGAGGCTGTCCCTGTCTGTTTGATTCAGATGCATCTCAGCTTCAGTCATGGTGCTGCTTGCATCCAAAGCCAGCTGTCAATAGAGCCTTCCTGTGCATCTAAAATGAAGTGTGGGGCAAAGTACGGATTATGCGCTGTGAATACCCCATGCTGTTCTGAGACAAACAAGCATACATATAATTATAACTAGGTTGTCTAGGTAGCTAGAACACATTTAAAATGAAGTTAATGATTTGATAGAGCTCTCAACCAAAATGCTTGTGATAAGAAGAATCCTCCAATATGCAGTGC